CCCCCCCCCCCCCCCCCCCCCCTCCCTGGTAGGACTGTCAGCTGTACAGTTTAATTTAATTCCATGTATTTAGGTCAATATTGATATTGTATTCTGATCACACAAATATTAGAATAATTAGGGGACTATCAATAAAATAAAGCTTAAAACAAGATCAACATGGCACCAGTTATGGATTCATCATAATAACCCATACTGACCTGTCTCTGTTAATAATCTATCTGTGCTGTTTTATTTAGCTTTTAGATTTTTTTTCTCTCTTTGCATTATCCTGTCCATGAGCTTTGCTGCTAATAATGCCTGGTGGGCTTCCTCAGCTTCCTGGGCTTTCGTGTGTGGCGAGGAAAAAGAGAAAACAGTGTGCTACGTTTTATTTACTCGCTCAGTCGAGCAGGTGTGTTAAATATATATTTAGATATGTGTTGTAAAAATGTGTGTCGCCTTTGAATAAAATTTGGCATCTCTATCGTTTTGGAACATCGAGGAAAGCATGTCTTTCGAGGGGCATGTATGTTAAAAGATGACTCCTCTCAACAAACAAACAGCATTAAAAAAAAGAAAAGAAAATGGCAGTAAAAAAAAAAGAAAAGAAGGCGCTTGCTCTGGAGCTGGTGCTGCACCCCGGACCAGTCAGGGATGCAAATGATGCACCTTAACGCCATCAGGTACTGGAGTTGACAGAAAATAATGAGAACCCGCTGAATCTTTTATAAGGTTAACACTCACATTTCCCAGTCAGCTGTCACACAAGAAAGAATTTAGCACATGCATGCGGGCGAAATAAACCTTCATCGTCTCATTAATGCTGACAGGGCCCTGGACCGGCAGCTCCCAGCGCCGGCGCCGCCACCACCTTACGTTTTGTGTCGGTAATTTGCAGCGGAGACAGACCCCCTTCTCCCGGAGAGAACGAGGAGGAGAGGAAGAAGGAGGAGGAGGAGGAGGGAGACAGTAAGGAGGAGAGCAGGAGCGAGAGGGAAAGAGGGGAATAGTAGAGGATCGTGGAGCGACTGCAGCGGAAAAAAGGGAGGGAAGGTGGGCTGGGGGGGTGGAAAGATGGCTAGCGCGCCAGGAGTCTGATTCTCCCCTAATTGGAAGCATTGGGCATTGTCAACGGAGGATTTTCAGCTGCTCACTGACAGGTAGAGCCGTCAGAATGATAGCCCACTTGTCAGCGCAAAAGACCAATAAAAACAAACCACTTTTGATTTAATTGGAGGCCTAACCATGTGTGTGTGTGTGAGGTAGAAAGTGTGTGTTGCCTGCAGGGCCATTGGGGAGGTGGGAGTGAAGATGAGTGGGGGGGCATTTGTGTCGGTGTGTGTGTGAAGGAAATCATCACTTTAGCCATCAACGTGTTCGCCCTGCCTCCATCTTGCCGTCGTCTCCTCTCTCATCTGGCGGCTCTTTGGGGGCCAGTGGTCACCAGTGAGAGGGGTTTCAGCGGAGGGGGGCATGATTCCGTCCCAGGGGGGCTTCCCGAGCAGCAACATCAGAGCAGAGCCGAGAACAGTTTCTCCCTCTTGCTCATCTCCCCTTTGTTTTTCTTCATCCTCCATCAACAGAGTTGGGTCCTTGTCGCTGGTGCCAGCCCTTCAATACGGGATGAGCAATGTTTGACATTTCCAGCGCTGCTCTGTCGACTGACACCCGTACGACCAGAGGAATCCTGAACCTTTCTGTCCAACAGAGCAAATGTCACCAGCACAGGCGTCCGTGTTGTCCCTGTAGTCTGGTTTGTCTCCGTGTGCTCGTTAAAGATGCATCAGCTGAATGTTGGTGACTATATGAAAATAATTGATGCTAAAGCTCAAATGAAGTATAAAGCAAAACAAAAAGCAGGTTTGGGTTCAGGAGTAGTTCTCTGAGTCTGACTCCAGCTGTCAAAGTTATTTGTAGCCTCTCAAGGCTCCAGGCCAACTTTTTACTTTGGTTGCACTGTTGCGCCTAACTTTTTTCAGTTAGGGGCACCCACAGGTAATGTCTGCTGAAGTTGTTGGGTCAGGATTAGGCGTCTTACCGGGGTCGGGGGAGAGGATGATGTCTGGGCTGAGTAACCCAAGCAATCCTCAGAACTATCGGTATGTTTTAAGGCTGTGAT